ACAGGTGAACACAACCCAGGTACAGAACAGGAGAACACAACCCCGGTATACAACAGGTGAAAACAACCCCTGTACAGAACAGGTGAACACAACCCCGGTACACAACAGGTGAACACAACCCAGGTACACAACAGATGAACACAACCCCGGTACACAGCAGGTGAACACAACCCCTGTACAGAACAGGTGAACACAACAGGTGAACACAACCCCTGTACACAACAGGTGAACACAACCCAGGTACAGAGGTTTATGTAGCAGCTTGCTCACAAGATACAGTGCTATAGGCTGCTCCCAGTTTGTGTGCCAGTTCAGCCTTACGTCTCCTGGATGAAGTATTTCTGGATGTCACTGGGTCAGATTCCTGGTACTTCTGTGTCTCCTGGCGCAGAGTGGATTCCTGTACGGCTGGGAAAGCCCCAGGCTACTGCCGAGGCCACGTCCCCTGACACCTCCCAAACCGTTTCATATCCATAAAAACCCACAGCAGACCCACACAGAAGACTGGGCGAGAACCCACCAACATGCACACAAAACAGAGCCGGGCGGAACGTCATACACTGTATGAGTAAATCTTCCGGCACTGGCCCTGTCTGCCGAGAGGACATGTCTTCCCAGAGCTTCCCTGGCACAACTCCAGGGCTCCGGAGCCACAGTCCTGCAGGGTTCCAGGTCTCTGCCTCTTTGACAGCGTCAAACCAATGAAGTCCAATTAAGGCAACGCCCAGCTCAATTAGGTCACTCAGAGCAGAGGAGGGGAGAAACCTGCAGGTTATGGTGTTTCCCCCGAGGGCCTAGAGTTGTGCACCAGTGATCTAGTGGAAGGAGTGAGTGTACAACACACCCAGAAGAAGGATCACAAACCGACGATCACAGTTTACCCAACAACACTGACCAAACTTTAAAATAGTGAGTCAATAAACATGCTTCAGATACAGGACGCTAAATTGATTCCTGCGAATGCACAAAAGACTTTGGTGGTATTACTGTACCTCTGCTTTAGTCCTATAGGTTGTTTAATCTGACTCCTTAAGTCACAGAAATAGCTAATGTTCTGCATTGCAGAAGTGCTGAAGAATGAAAATTCATACCGTTCGTGTTAGTTTGTCTTCTGAAACGACAGAAATAAGGCGGTAATTGTTCTGCTCAGTGAAAATTTGTCATTTCTCCTGCAGGAAAGGAAACACCCGATTCCCTTCGGCCAAAACAACCTGTGCGAAGTAGCCCAGAAACAGCGAGTCCCTGCTCTGAGAGGACAGGCAGGACAGAGCCCCATCGTGCAAACACCAGCACTGCCAGTCCGTGTCACTTCCCCACAGCCAGCCGACTGTGAAACAGTGCCCCCTGTGGCTGCCCCTTGAGCCTGCAGTGTTACCAGCAAGAGCTGCCTCTGTGTGTCCTTCCTCCTACACCAGCGCCCACACCAGCGCTCGGGGCACTCTCTTTGGCGCTAGCATGGGCCTGTGTTGGTTCTCTGTAGTGCCGGTCCAAGACCAAGAGGGCACTGTTCAGGAAGGGCACGTGAACGGGCACACAAGCAAATAACTGCTGATTCTGAACCTTAACATGGGCCTGCAGAGCACAGGCCACAGAAGACACTGTCTCCGGGACCTGACAGAGGACAGAGGACAGGTCCAAGACCTCTACCTGAGACATTTCATATGATGAAAACTCACATATACGTATCTTTCTCATGTATCCTTTTTTTTGCATTGCAAAAAGCACAGACACATACTTTAAACACTATTGCCAAACAGGTCTCTGTTTTGCTACAGAATAAGACATCTTTAAAATAAAAAAAATTCAGTAACCACATGAAGAGATTATAAATATCTTTTAACTTCAGTTCACATTTGTTGGTTTGCAGAAGTGCATGAAGGTCCCATTCCACACGTGGACACCCCGGACTTCAGGAGTGGCTTCTGGAATCGAAAGTGTCAGGAAGCAGGAGGAGGCCAGACAGCTTCACCTCCTGCAGCGAGTTAGGAGTGAGGATTCCTGTGGGATCGCTGCTGGTCAGACTCACCTGCGCGAGCCGGGCCGATCCCAGCGGTGGTGCGTGGGGGTGGGCGAGAGGACGAGAAGAGGGGGCAGGACATGGCCTGTCACGGTTTGCCCTGGTTCGACTTGACCAGGGACGACCGGCTGCTGTCCCCACTTTCCTCCACCGGCCTGCGGCAGCTGCCGTCTGGGGAGACGCGGGAGGGAAGAGTCAGGAGGCAGGGCGGGCGCCAGGAGCTACTGCTGCTTCCTCTCCTCTCCAGGCCCCGCCCCCAGCGAGCGCGGTACTCCTGCCTGCCCCTTCATACCAACATACTCACCCCAGCTGGCTCCAGCGCTCTGACAGACACCTCCAGCCCCGCGCGTGAATACCCTGCACCCAGTGGGGCTCTTTACAGGAGTCAGAGACTGCACTCCCAGACTCATTTCACTCCAATAATCTGCTTCCCTGTGAATTACTATTCTTTTTCTGTGACAACTTATAGGATTTTCTCATATAAATGAACAAAGGGCATAGACATCTACACAAATCTGTGTGCTCAGGTGCTACATTATTTTCTTACAGCTCGAGTGCTACACTATACTATTCCCTTATAGCTCATACGCTACCTTGCGCTCACACAGCTCGTCTGCTGTAATGGTCTCCCACCTGGGTTTATGAAGAGCTTCTTCTTCTTCTTGATGCACGGCCAGATGACGAGTTTGCAGGAGGTGGTGATGACGATGACCAGAAGGACCAGCGAGCTGATGAAGAAGGCCAGCATCAGGCCTGCGGTGGGAGGGGGAGAGACGGCGGAGGTCAGAGTGGGGGGTCGCAGGTCCGGCGCAGCGGCGGGGGGCAGGAAGGGAGAGGACTTGCCCAGTTTGAAGTCGCTCGCGGCTCCTGCCCTTGGCGTCGTGGCGCTCCTGCCGGGCGCGCTGCTGGCGCCCACGGTGGAGATGTCCGTGCTGTGGCTTTGTCCAGAGAGGCCTGGGACTGGGGTGCCAGGGGACGACTTGGGCGCACTGGGATCGTCGCCGCAGACCACATCCGCCTCCCTCGAGCCTTCCACCCTCACCTGCTTCGTTCCACACCTGGAGCAGGGCATGGACAGGGGGGTCACTCTCACAGAGCTGTCCGCAGGCGCGGGGAACGTCTGTCTGCCCTGTCCTTCAGTCCAAACTGCGGCAGCCTCCCAGCGGTCTGTCCCCTGAGGGCCAGGCCTGCGGTCACGGAGGGCTAGCTCTTTGCAGACACAAAGAAGTGGGGATTTTGCAGTTCTAAATGTCTGTCCTTTTCAGTCTTGAACAGAGGAAACTATGAGGGAGAAGGAGGAGAATCCTCAAAGGCAACCCAGCAGACTGAAATATTAACTAGAGGGCACCTGCAGTAACTTGAGGCAAGTGCAGTTAAAACCGAGGGTGGTGGGAGTGTGGAACAAGCTACTCAGCCATGTAGGTAAAGCCGATACCCTGGCTTCCTTCAAGGAATGGCAGGATCATATCCTGGGATCACTGAGCTACTAATGACAAAACGGGATCCACTGGGCCAAATGGCCGCCTGTCATTTTTTAACCTTTCTTATAATCTTCTGTGGAGACACACAGCTCAGACTGTGGGAGGCTGAGGCACTGCCGAGCTAATGGTTACAGCTAGCTGAGCCCAAGGGGGTACAGCAGTGTCACTGCAGACGGCCCAGCAGGCCTGTCCAAGCTCCAGCCTGCAGACGAGCTGGAGAGTGACCGACTGCTGGCCCTAGACATCATCTAGGACACCAGAGCTGCCTGCGGGATTCCAGAGGCAGGAGTTCTAGATCGGAAATTCAAGGCATTTGCAAGCAAAGCTGGAATTTGATACATACTCTGTCCATTTAATGCACTTCTCTCCATCAGTAGAATAAAATCCGTCTTTACATGGAACACAACTTTTTTCTGGAACACAAGAAAAAAACAAACAGTTCTGTTAAAGCACATGGCTGCAGAGGAGTGGATGTTCTGGAGGTACTGGAGTAGTGAAGCACTCTGCAGCCTCAGCTTCTCCTGATCCACGTTCTCCTGTCCCGAGCAGTACCATAACAGTGTGGCACGCAGAGGGGAGAACAGTCTGCGGCCAGGGTGCTTGGGATCCCGAATGATGGATTGGGCTGTATCGCGGCAGCGGATGGATTGATGGTAAAGCGCATCTTATGATCCTCTGTGCCGTTGCCACAGCCCTTGTAGTGCATCTCTGCCCTGCATGGTAGTACTGCTGTACCACACAGTGAGGAAACTAGTGAGGACACTTTCTATGGTGCCACAGTAAAAGTTCATGAGGAGCTGCTTCCCCAAACTGCATTTCTTTAAGCACCGCAGAAAGTGCAGGCGCTGTTGTGTCTTTTTCAGACTGGCTACAGTGATGTGAGTCCAGTCCAGGTCGGTGGAGATCTGCAGGCCGAGGAACCTGAAGCAGCTGACAGTTTGCACTGCTGTGCCCTCTGAAGGCCGAGCTGGAATCAATAAACAGCATCCTAACATAGGTACCCCACCCGTCTTCTAGAGCAGGGTGAAGTGCTAGAGATATGGGCAGTAAGCAAACTGAAGTGGGTCAAGGGAGTCTGGGATAGAGCAATTTGTATAGGACAATACTTGTCTTTCCAGGCACTTCCAGACCACTGGGTGGTAATCGTTCAAGCAAGTTACCTTGGTCTTCTTGGGTAGTGGCACAACTGTGGTTTCTTAAAGCACTCTGGTACAACTGACATGGACAGAGAGGGGTTACAAATGTCTGTCTAGGCAGGAGAAAGCTGGATAGCTGACCTGCACAGGTTTTAAGGACATGAGGGGAGACACCATCTGGGCTGGCTGCTTTTCGGGTTCTCACTCTCTTAAAGGCTCTAAGCACCTGATGGTTAGAGAGCTGTAACACAAAGTCTCCTGGTTCACTGGGAGCCTTGATAGCAGCCCAGTGTTCTGAGCCTCAAAACGGGAGGAGAAGGTGTTCAGCTCATCTGGTAGAGATGCTTCAGTGGAGGAAATACCGCTGGTGTTGCCTTTGTAGTTCGTGCAAAAAAAAGGCAAAGTCGAAAATGTGGAAAAGCTGATTTTAGGGAGTCTTGATTAGCTGCTAATAGAAGAGTACGTGTGAACTCCAGGTCCTCCGGGCCCTGGGCTTCTGTCACAGGGGTGGAAATTATTTTGCACTCACATGCATCATACAGACCTCCCCTCCCTGCAATGCTGAGGCAGCTGTTGAGTTCCCCAGGGTGTGCAGAGCTGGGACACCGACAGAAGGCAGTGATGCTGGAGCAGCTGTGTCTGCAGGTGTGTCAGTAGTAGGTGTGTCTGCAGGTGTATCGGTAGGTGGTGTGTCTCCAGGTGTGTC